GCTTCCTCCCGGCCTCCCCTCCTCCCTGGCAGAGCATGAGACTCACAAAGTCCTTGGCCAAACCAAAACATCACCTCTATCAGCTTTGTTCCCAGCCCGAAAGTCAAAACACAGCCCTGCACCAGCTACCAAGAAGGAGAAAAAATGACTGCTGCTGCTAAACCCAGGACATTATCCACCCCTTATTCCATACCATTCACGTCATGCTCAGATCCTACATTTTCAATATACCATCACTCCGATCTCAGTGCACTTCTATCTTAGTGCAAAGACTAGTCCCTATAAAGCTGCTGAGTCCATCTGGTCCATGATGTCAGGCTCCATCTCTTGTAACAGTCTTTCAGAACAGGAGAGGCCGTGTGCAGTATTGGGTCGTTGCCTGCTGATGCTGATCATTCCCTTACTTCAGGACTCGTCTGGTTCTGTCAAAGTTTGCTCTCTGTTGGGATGATGGTTGAAGGGAAGTCAGGGCTAGTCGCTGGTGGCCTGAAGACATCTGGTTGATGGGCTATTAAAGTATTACACAGCAGGCAACAACATACAATTAAGTTCATTGGCTGTTTTCCCCTAAAATTAAATCCCCTTGAGGTACACATCGGACTTCCCCATTGTCCCGCATTACCCACCAAGTATATCCAGGTCCCTGAGAAAAAGCAATCCCACAAGTGGGTTTGCCTTTACTTGAAGCAGGAATAACCCAGACTGTCTTCCCCAGCAAATTCTTCATATGCACCACAGGAACTTTGTCCCCCTCTACAATATGTAAAAGTTCCGATTGGGCTGGGCCAGCTCTGTTGGGAGATCCTCTGGTGTTGACCAACCAGGTGGCCTTTGGTAAGTGTGTATCCCAATGCTTGAAAGTTCCCCCACCCATTGCCCTCAGTGTAGTTTTTAACAGCCCATTGTACCTTTCGATTTTCCCAGAGGCTGGTGCATGGTAGGGGATGTGATATACCCACTCAATGCCATGCTCTTTGGCCCAAGTGTCTATAAGGTTATTCCGGAAATGAGTCCCGTTGTCTGACTCAATCCTCTCTGGGGTGCCGTGTCGCCACAAAATGTGTTTCTCAAGGCCCAGGATAGTGTTCCGGGCAGTGGCGTGGGGCACAGTGTACGTTTCCAGCCATCCGGTGGTTGCTTCCACCATGGTAAGCACATGGCGCTTACCTTGGCGGGTTGGTGGCAGTGTGATATAGTCAATCTGCCAGGCCTCCCCATATTTATACTTCAGCCATCGTCCTCCATACCAAAGAGGTTTTAACCATTTGGCTTGTGTAATGGCAGCACATGTTTCACACTCATGAATAACCTGGGCAATAGTGTCCATTGTTAAGTCTACCCCTCGATCACGGGCCCATCTATATGTTGCATCTCTGCCCTGATGGCCTGAAGTGTCACGGGCCCACCGGGCCAAAAATAATTCACTTTTATGTTGCCAATCTAAGTCCATCTGAGCCACTTCAATCTTAGCAGCTTTATCCACTTGTTGGTTGTTCTGGTGTTACTCAGTGGCCCAACTCTTGGGTACATGGGCATCTACATGACGTACCTTCACCACCAGGTTTTGCACCCGGGCAGCAATATCTTTCCACAGTGCAGCAGCCCAGATAGGTTTACCTCTGCGTTGCCAGTTGCTCTGCTTCCATTGCTGCAACCACCCCCACAGGGCATTTGCCACCATCCATGAGTCAGTATAGAGATAAAGTACTGGCCACTTTTCTCGTTCAGCAATGTCTAGGGCCAGCTGGATGGCTTTCACCTCTGCAAACTGACTCGATTCACCCTCTCCTTCAGCAGTTTCTGCAACTTGTCGTCGAGGTTTCCATACAGCTGCCTTCCATCTCCGATGTTTTCCCACAATACAGCAGGACCCATCAGTAAATAAGGCATATTGCTTTTCACTTTCTGACAGCTGATTATATGGTGGGGCCTCTTCAGCACGCATCACCTCCTCCTCTGGTGACATTCCAAAATCTTTGCCCTCTGGCCAGTCCATGATGACTTCTAGAATGCCTGGACGACTGGGATTTCCTATTCGAGCTCATTCTGCAATTAGTGTAGCCCATTTACTCCATGTAGCATCAGTTTCATGATGTGTAGAGGAGACCCTGCCTTTGAACATCCAGCCCAGCATGGGCAACCGGGGTGCCAGGAGGAGTTGTGCTTCGGTGCCAATCACTTCCGAAGCAGCTCGAACCCCTTCATAGGCTGCCAGTATCTCTTTCTCAGTTGGGGTATAGCTTGCCTCAGATCCTTTGTATCCCCGACTCCAAAAAACAAGGGGTCGACCTCGAGTCTCTCCTGGAGCTTTCTGCCAGAGGCTCCAGGTAGGGCCATTCTCCCCAGCTGTGGTATACAATACATTTTTTACATCTGGCCCAGTCCGAACTGGTCCAAGGGCCACTGCATGAACTGTCTCTTGTTTAATTTGCTCAAAGGCTTGCTGTTGCTCAGGTCCCCATTTAAAATCATTCTTCTTACGGGTCACGTAATAGAGAGGGCTTACAATCAAACTGTAATTTGGGATGTGCAGTCTCCAGAACCCCACTGCACCCAAGAAAGCTTGTGTTTCTTTCTTATTAGTTGGTGGAGACATTGCTGTTATCTTGTTGATTACGTCTGTGGGGATCTGTCTACGTCCATCTTGCCATTTTATTCCCAGAAATTGAATCTCCTGTGCAGGTCCCTTGACCTTACTTCGATTTATGGCAAAACCGGCTTTCAGCAGGATTTGGATTATTTTCCTCCCTTTCTCAAAGACTTCTTCTGCTGTATCGCCCCACACTATAATGTCATCAATGTATTGCAGGTGTTCTGGCGCTTGCCCCTGTTCCAGTGCAGTCTGAATCAGTCCATGGCAAATGGTAGGGCTATGTTTCCAGCCCTGGGGCAGTCGGTTCCAAGTGAACTGGACACCCCTCCAAGTAAAAGCAAACTGTGGCCTGCACTCTGTTGACAAAGGAATTGAGAAAAACGCATTGGCAATATCAGTCGTGGCATACCACTTGGCTGCTTTTGACTCCAGTTCACACTGAAGTTCTAGCATGTCTGGTACGGCAGCACTCAATGGTGGTGTGACTTCATTCAGGCCACGATAGTCTATTGTTAGTCTCCACTCTCCGTTAGACTTTCGCACTGGCCACATGGGGCTATTAAAGGGCGAGCGGGTCCTGCTGATCACTCCCTGACTCTCCAGTCTACGGATCAGCTGATGGATAGGAATCGGGGAGTCTCGGTTGGGGCGATATTGCCGCCGGTGCACTGTTGTGGTCGCAATTGGCACTTGTTGTTCTTCGACTTTCAGCAGCCCCACAACAGAAGGATCCTCTGAGAGGTCAGGCAAGGTGGACAGCTGCTCAATTTCTTCAGTCTCTAAAGCAGCAATACCAAAAGCCCATCGGTACCCTTTTGGGTCTTTGAAGTACCCTCTCTTGAGGTAGTCTATGCCGAGGATGCATGGAGCCTCTGGGCCAGTCACAATACGGTGCTTTTGCCATTCTCTCCCAGTCAGGCTGATTTCAGCCTCCAGTACAGTCAACTCTTGGGATCCTCCTGTCACTCCAGAAATATAGATGGGTTCCACCCCTTGACAGCTCGATGACATCAGGGTACACTGTGCACCGGTATCTACTAGAGCCTTATACTTCTGCGGGACTGATGTGCCAGGCCATCTGATCCACACAGTCCAGTAAATCCGATTGTCCCCTACCTCCACCTGGCTGGAGGCAGGGCCCCTCTAATAGTCATCACAGGATTGGACACTTAAGTCATGTTGAAAGGGATTATTCTTAGTTATCACAGGAGCTTGAGTAAAATCAGCTCTTCCACTCCACCTGGGAAACCGCTCACCAGAGACTGAAGCCATAGCTCTCATGGGACGATCAGTCTTGGCCTTTGCTCCTCTTTTCAATTCACTCACCCGTTCCTCCAAAACTGAAGTAGGTTTTCCATCCCACTTTGTCATGTCTTCTCCGTGATCACGCAGGTAAAACCATAGGGTAGACCGTGGCGTATACCTCTTGTATCTCCTTTCTCGAACAGTGGGACGCCTTTTGTTAATAGCTGAAATGTGTGTTGGTACACGCAAGGAGTTGGATAAGTCAGATATATCGTCCCTCAATTGTTTGAGATCCTGGGACAGTTTTTCCACAGCTGAGATGATGGAAGGGGTGAGATTGTCTTCGAACTCGTGGAGTTTATGAACCATTTCATCCACTGTTAGTGGTACTATGTCATTCCAGGTTACTGTTGCCAATGAATGGGCGTATGATGATGGTGCATTCCGTGTAAGTTTTCGCCACATGGGTCGTGTACATTCGACTTCATCTGGATCTATGGGTATATTCCCATTATTCAGCTTGATGTGATAGATCATCTCCACGATGGCTGATTCTCTCAGAGACTGGATGCCTTTGTCTATAGTAGTCCACTTGGCCGAACGACTCATAACATCGTCCTTGTATGGAAACCTTTCTTTGACAGCTGCCAAGAGCCTCCTCCAAAGACTGAGGGACTTTTTCTCTCTTGCAATTGCTTTGTCAATTCCCCCTTCTCTAGCAAGTGATCCCAACTGCTTGGCTTCTGTACCTTCTAGTTCGTGACCATCGGCCCCATTGTCCCAGCATTGGAGCAACCAGGTGATGATGTGCTCCCCTGGTTGACGGGTAAAATCTTTTCGCATATTCCGTAGCTTGGTTGATGTCCGAAGTCGAGAAGTCACCTCTCCTTCTTCTTCTTCATCATGTGATGATGACTCCTGATCATGTTCTGGATCGAGTAGTGAATGCATTGTTTCTTCATCTCGCTTTAACCTTCCTGCCTCCTTTTTGCTTTTTCTCTTGTGGACAGGGGCAACCGATATTGGTACGAATTGGTCCTCTGGTTTAGTTGCAGTGGTTATCACTGTGGTTTGAGTAGCGACTGTACTTGTTGCTGGGGGTGATGTGGCTGCTGTACTTGGAGCTGGGATAGCTGCGCCAAAGTTTGAGTAGCGACTGTACTTGTTGCTGGGGGTGGTGTAGCTGCTGTACTTGGAGCTGGAGTAACTGTACTGGCTGTTGCTTTGCCCTCAGATCCAGCGACATTTTTTTCCTTTTGAAGGTGCTGGAAAGCATTGAACATGGCCCTGTAAGCATAGGCCAAGCCCCAGCACATTGCCATGATTTGTCCGTCTCTGGTATGGCCAGACTGACCACACACCTCATTTAAGTGTTTTACTAATTCTTCTGGATTTTGCAGTTGTTCGGTGGTGAAATTCCAAAGTACTGGAGGGGCCCACTGACCTAGGTACTTGCCCATACTGTCCCACACACCCTGCCACTCATGGCTGTCCAGCCTCAGAGAAAATCTCTTGGTCCTCCTACTTCATCGTTTAACCCCAGACAAGACCCAAACCTGACTCTGCTTAACTTTTGAAAACAGATGAAATAGTTGTGGCCAAAATACACTCTGTATACGTGCCAACATGGTGATCCCCATCACAATCAGCAAACAAGTCTCAATAGCATTAAAAGGCCATTCAGAACTCTCAAATGATGCTGTAAATGCTCTGGGGGGAGGACTGGGAGGGTAAAAGAATGCCTCCTTCACAGGTTGACCACCTGAGAAGGAGAAAGAATATGTGTAATTACTAAGCACTTCTATTATATACCTCCCAAAGTATAAAGGTGGTGACCATACTGAGAACATAAACCAGATAAGTTTCATGATCAATAATTCTATTGCATTACAAGTCATCATCATAAAGTACACTGAGACAAGAACTTTAGCCCAAGCCCCACACTTGAAAAACACTAATACAGCAAATACCAGATCTAAGTAAGTTACAACATTCTGAAGCTGTGAGATCAAGAGGAACAACTTTGAGAGCCAATAAATCAGCATTGTGATGAGTGACTATTAATCCGGTCAGATCTGTTGTTATCTCAACCCCTTCGTGCCCCACGTTGGGCACCAAAAAGAACTGTCGTGGTTTAACCCAACCAAACAGCTTGTTCACTTACTCCCAGTGAGTGGTGCCAGGCTGGAAGCAATCGAGGCCCACATTAGTCCGCCCCCCCCCCCTTCCCCAGGGGTTGCCGCCCCTTTTCCCCGCTTCCAGAGGGGTGGGGAGGAGAATCGAAGGAATGCAACTCCCACGGGCTGAGGTAAGAACAGTCTAGCAACTAATGTACAATACGAATCACCACCGCTACCACCAACGACAACAATGATAAGAGAAAATAGCAAAGGAAAGGAGTACAGTACCACGCGCCGAACCACCAGTCCGACCCGGCCGACCCCCTCTCCCTCCGGGTACCTCCCAGTTCCCCCCTGGGCATGACGTGCTGTGGTATGGAATACCTCTTTGGTCAGTTTGGGTCAGGTGTCCTGTCTCTGCTTCCTCCCGGCTTCCCCTCCTCCCTGGCAGAGCATGAGACTCACAAAGTCCTTGGCCAAACCAAAACATCATTTTTATCAGCTTTGTTCCCAGCCCGAAAGTCAAAACACAGCACTGCACCAGCTACCAAGAAGGAGAAAAAATGACTGCTGCTGCTAAACCCAGGACATTATGATAGGAAAAAAGACACCAAAATCCCAGTGTGTCTTATTTTTGAGCTTTTTATAGGTAGGCAAATATATGCGCTTGCCCGGATTAATAAAATATCTTGCAACAGTAGCAAGAATGTGTTTTAGAAGGCTCAGTCTGGCAAGGACCAGCCTGAGGAATGGGCTTTTTTGTTAAACAAGTGTCAGCTATCCCAAAACAGTTACCTCTTTTTGAAGGTTGGGGTCTAGAGAAATGTTTTAAGTTATGGGTTTAAGTTAAGGCTTCTAGAAGAATAAATTTTTAGTGATGAGTAAAATCAGCAGAGGATGTGACATGAATTGAACCATGGTTGGAAACTTTGCTTGAATAACTTTGGGAGAAACTGAAGGGAAACCTATTACATTTTAACTTTTTAATTTTATCTCCTGCCCTGGCAGTTGAACATTAAATGGGAACTATTAGTTATAGACTAAAATGGTCTTTAAATGGAAAGGAAGGGAGCAGAGAAAGTAGTTGGTTTTCATTATTAATACTAATTTTATTATTATGTTTTATATGGCAAGCATTTTATTGAAGAAGGGATGAAAAGTAGAAATCCAGGACCTTCAGACTCAGTAGCTTGCATGTCCCAAATCATCAAGACTTTGACAAGAGAATGACAGAGGAAGAAAAAGGGGGAAAGGAGAGGAAAAAGAAACAAAGGAAAAGGCAAAGATTCAGGTCTATGGGATGCCAGTCCCCGGGTTTGTGCTGGTGCTGCGGTTCTCAGGAAGCCTGGGATTGTGTTAATGCTGCTGCAAGGAGGGACAGAGAACATGTGTGGGAACAATATCCTCTGAGTGGATAGGAGGGAGCTGTCAGTCCCTTAGCTCATATCAGATCTGTCAGCTCCTGTATCTCTCATAGAAAGCTTATAGAGCTTTAAAGAAAAATTAATGTTTGATCAGAGACTGGTTCTGTATTCACGAACAATGCCAAGAGTTCACACTTCATTTTAAACATCCAAACAAAATACTTTTCCTTCTGGCATTTTTAGGACTATGTAAACCCAAAACTAATAAAAATGCATTTATATTTCTGTCTGGAGGTGTTAGGGAACATTTTCTTATTCTAAAAGGTGGCAAAAGAGTGAGAGAATTATTCATATTTCCTTTTTAATTTAGGCAAGTTGTCTTCACTAGGGTCACCATGCAATGTGGTAATCTTTGAGACACCGAGGTTTGGGACATGAAGGCTTGGAAAAAAAAAAACCAAAACAAGAAAACCAACAAAAACCAAAACTTTTGGGGTGGTCTTTTTTGGGTTTTTTTTTTCTTTTCCTGCTTGATAAATTTAAAGACGCTCTTTTTTAGGATCATTTTCATCCTTGAACTCTCACTAGCCCAAGTTAGCTTGAGGAACACTCCGTGTTCGATACTTCCCTGCTTTTGTGCTGAAGTGAAAGGGAAGGGTGACTTCAACCTTCTTATTCTGTGTGTGCATTAAGAGCATGAATTAATCCTTTTTGTTGGAAGTGAAGTTTATTATTTTTCAGTTTAACCATATTCTGTTACCTGTGTTGGAACAGAAAGGCAGGATGTTAGAGAAGCCCAGTGGAAGTGAGAAGACAAGTTCGTTTTCAGGGTGGATTGCGCTTTTTTTTTTTTTGGTATAATTTGTTTATTTTAAGGTTGAGGGCAGGTAAGAATTACAAAGATAAAGGGTAGTTTTGGAAGTCAAGGGAGAAGCCAAAGAAAAGCCATATAGGATCATAGAATTGTTAGGGTTGGAAAGGACCTTAAGATCATCTAGTTCCAACTCCCCTGCCATGGGCAGGGACACCACACACTAAACCATGTCACCCAAGACTCCGTCCAACCTGGCCTTGAACACTGCCAGGGATGGAGTATTCACAACTTCCCTGGGCAACCCATTCCAGTACCTCACCACCCTTACAGTAAAGAACTTCTTCCTTATATCCAATCTAAACTTCCCCTGTTTAAGTTTGAACTCATTACCCCTTGTCCTATCACTGCAGTCCCTAGTGAAGAATCCTCCAGCATCCCTGTAGGCCCCCTTCCGATACTGGAAGGCTGCTATGAGGTCTCCACACAGCCTTCTCTTCTCCAGGCTGAACAGCCTCAACTTTCTCAGCCTGTCTTCATGCGAGAGGTGCTCCAACTACCTGATCACCCTCGTGGGCCTCCTCTGGACTCGCTCCAACATCTCCATGTCCTTCTTATGTTGAGGACACTAGAACTGTGCACATTACTCCAAGTGAGGTCTCACAAGAGCACGGTAGAGGGGCAGGATCACCTCCTTCGACCTGCTGGTCACACTTCTTTTGATGCAGCTCAGGATACAGTTTGTTTCTGGGCCGCAAGTGCACACTGCTGACTCCCCCAAGTCCTTCTCTGCAGAGCCTATAATCTTCCATTCCAGCACTCCAGTCATAGGAGCCACCCCACCATGTTTCCGTGACGCTAATGATATCATATCCCTGTAGCCATGTACACATCTCTAATTCCTCTTGTTTATTCCCCATATACTACAGGCATTTGTATAGAGGCATCTGAGCCGAGCTCCAAATGAAGCCAACTCATTGGCTGGAGCGGCTGAAGTAGCTCTGCATCGCTCCAAGCATTTATTACAGGTGCTGGCAACTGTCTGGGAGTGTTGGGAATATATAAGTGCACCTGCCCCATTTGCAAAAAGCTCTGCTACCCAGCTCCTCTACACACTGAATTATTTGATCTTCTCCAGAGTGTCTGCTATAAAAGGGAGTTCTTTTGAAGTACACTGGGAGGTGTGCGGTTGAGAACATAAAATAAAGCAGGGAAGTTGATAATGTTATAAATTTTAGGCTTCTTTATTGTAAAACACTTTTTTTGTGAGAATGATGGCCTTGTTCAGTCACTTACAGTCGTTCTGAAGTTTTTAGTTCAGAAATAAAAGAAAAAAAAACAACATTGAAACGTGCAGGTAATCAATAGGGCAGACTGTTATGTGGTTTCGACAGCATGTGTAGTATAGTTCCAAAATTAATATCGTGGGATGAGAGAATTTTTGCTTACTCCTATAAAAACAAAACGTAGTCTGCTTTTGCACCCAAGATCCCCATAAAACCCTGACAACACCCTTAAAGGTCATTTATGGAGGTGACCTCTTTTTGCTTCCCACACTCCCTAGGAGCATTTCTGGTCTACCCACTCTTTCATGGCCACCCACGCGCAGATCGGTTGAGAAATCATACTTCGTTAAGAAAAAACTTTGATAAGAATGTTACTTTTCTTCTTTGTTCACTTTTCTTTGTTTGAAAGATATCTTTTGTTCTCTGTACTTCAAAGGCAGTACTTAAAAATACATCATTTGCTGCATATAGAAATTTAAATGGAATATGTCAATTTTAGATGAGGGGACTTGTCATTGTTCCATAAAGTACATACATATATTTTATTCTCATTTGTGGGTCAAGAAGTAAATTAAAATTAATCTAATCACAGGAACATTTTTAAGCAAACACATTTAGATGGATGGGCTGTTCTTTGTTTTTTAAAACCTGTAGCAGACTTACAGTCTTCACCAGTCAAATGTATTTAGAGTAACCATTAATTAGCAGTAGTTCTTATATCTGTACCTTCATGTATGATAGGAATATAAATATTACTGGAGTAAATTGTCACAAGTTGAATGCCTTTGGATGTGAGGAAGAGTATCTTGGATCTGTGTCTTTTTCTGTGGCAGTAAAAGCATTACTCAGTGATGGTGCAACATGCTACTGACAACGTCACGCTCATTGCAACCTGCACAGTCTGTCCCTGTTAGTCTTTGCAATAATCATGAACAGAGTTATGAATCTCATAAGGCAAAATGTGGCAAGCATCTAGTATGGGAATCTTTCCATCTGCACACCACATCCTCTCAGAAATCTACATGATTTAAAGCAACTCTTATTGATAGAAAAGTTTTCTTGTGTTTCTTTTTAATGGGTTTTGATTTTTGCATCTGTTTTAAGTTAGATGGTTCTTCATGCAATTCTGATTGTGGTTGTTCACAAGCTGCTTTCTCTGTTGCTTTTCCTGTAGGTGTTGCAGGGTGCTCAGCTGATAGCTATTGCTTCTGCTGAGCCTGCCTCAGGGGGTGTTGATGGTTCCCTGCTCCAAGGGAGTGATATCCAAGTCCAGTATGTGCAGCTGACACCAGTGACAGACCACTCTGTGACTAATCAAGTATGTATATATTATCTTTTCTCCGTTTGAGTGTACTTAACTTGATTGAAACCTCTGTCAGATGAACTCTATATCTACCCACAAATACTGAGATACCAATGAGTTTATGATCCTGTTTCCAAACAGTAAACCCCCCCAAAAAACATCTATAATAAGAAACATAATTTTGTTAAAGCTATAAATAGGCTTTAACTATTGCTGCTTCAATGTTCTTGCTCAGTGCTCTAGAGAATAGTTATTTTGGTCATCACTGTTTTTCTGCATTCTTGAAGGCTGAGAGCCATGTTAAAAAGGACAACGCAAAAAACTTGCTTGGAATCTATAAAAAAAAAAAGTATTTTTCAGACTGAAGTTTCTCTTAAAAAAGTTATTCCCTTTCTTTCAACATTTTTCCAGTTATTTTGATCAACAACCTGGATTTCCCACAGGAGTCGCAATGTTAGCAATTATAAGTGAATACTGATCTTCTCATGTTATGATGAAGGAGTGTTGTGGTTTAAACAAAGTCAGCCATAAATCACACAGTCGCTCTCTCACTCCCCCCCTTTTTGCCCTCCCCCTGCTCCTGGAGGGATGGGAAGTAGAATCAAAAGAATGCAACTCCCACGGGTTGAGATAAGAACAGTTTAGTAACTAAGCTATAACACAAATCACTACTGCTACCACCAATAGTAATAATAGTAAAGGAAATAACAAGGGAAGAGAATACAACACCTCACCACCCACCGACCGATAACTCAGCCCCCCCCAGCCCGACCAAGCACCTAGTCCAATCTCGCAGTCCTCGCCCTTCCGGGTAACTCTCAGTTACATCCTGGGCCTGACGTGCTGTGGTGTGGAATACCTCTTTGGCTAGTTTGGGTCAGGTGTCCTGTCTCTGCTTCCTTCTGGCTTCCCCTCCTCCCTGGCAGAGCATGAGACTCACAAAGTCCTTGGTCAGAGTAAACGTTACTTAGCAACAACTAAAAACATCAGTGTTATCAGCTCTGTTCCCAGGCTGAAAGTCAAAACACAGCGCTGCACCAGATACTAAGGAGGAGAAAAATTGACTGCTACTGCTAAACCCAGGACAAGGAGTTATCTTTTGTTTTCCCTTTTAAGAACAGTCATGTATCTGAGTCTAGAAAAAGCTCCTCATCAGCTTGACAATATGACTGGTGACAACACAAGTGATGACTTAAAACATTTATGTTTTCTGAAGATGGTTACACATTCTTCTGTGTACCCCACTTAGTGGGCTTCTTATCTAGAGAATGCCAAGTGGTTGTGAAAAATAAGCTGTTGCTTGCTAGCCAAAATATAATGGTATCCTTAGCAGCAAATATTAGAGTGGATTTTTGTCCAATGCATACACATTTTTGTAGAGAATTCTGATCTGGCTATAAATGTTTGATTATTGAGTCTCTTGGGGGGGGGGGGGAATTGCATAAGAAATCGAGGGAATTATGTACAGACTTTGCATGCACAAAGCTTCTTCCTTGGACAAGGCAATCTGCAGATCCGTTCAATGAAGTCAGAGCACATCAGTTATCCCAGTGGCGAACAGGACCTCAGACAAAAGCTGGAACTGTGGTGTATATTGCCAACATGCTATCTGTGCCAGTTGGTGCTGGGAAGGAAGCTGGAGCTCCGAGCTCTCTGAGCTGCTCCCCAGCTGGATGCTACAAAGTGCTTTTCAGAATAATGATGCATCCTGGCAAAAAGTATCAGCCTGTCTGGTGTGTGAGCACGCTGTGCTGCAAGATTACAATCTAGTTTACTGTACACTGATCTTCCTATGTAGATGAGCCCTGAGTAGTCATTTTCCATCTTTTCTAGATTAGCCTCTGCATTAAACCATCTCAGCATTTTATTCATAGTCATTTGTAATAGTACACTGGACAACAAGTGCGTTGCTACAGGGATCATGCCTTGTTTCTTACAAATCCTGAAGTACTGCTGGTCCCATGCAGTTAATAAAGCATATAGGCATCAGATAGTGAGAGATGTTTCTCATGCTGCTGTCCTCACTCCAGGCTTGGGAAATTCTCAGATTTCCCTCCCACGGACTTTCTCCTGGGTGTGTTCCTCGTGCCTGTCCTCCCTTCTCTGCTAGCACCTCTGGTAGGGAGGAAGGAGGTTACGGAGTGCAGTTCTACACGTCAGCATCCGTCTCTCGCACAACTGGCAGCTACCAGAGGAGTCACTTTTCAGGGACACTTTGCACTGTGTTAAGTTTCAATATTCCGCTTAACCACGGGGATTTATACAAAGCTGAAGAGAAGCAGAAAAGGAATGTCGTGTAAAAGGAAAAACAGACAATATGAAAAATAAGTTTGCCATAAGTATTTCCTCAGTTTACACAAACTCAAAACTAAGGATCTGTTAATGATTTGGAGAAACCAACTTGGTATTTGCATTGCAGTCAGTTACTGAGGTGAGTAGCTCAAGAGAGGACGCCTTCGACACTTTATCGGGGGAAAGCTCAGCGTCCAGGAGCCTCAATTCAGAGTGGCAAGAAGCCACAGAGGGAGCCTTAAGTCCTCAACAGGACTTGCCCAGGAGCTGGCAGCTCAGCTGATGCGAGCAGCTGACTCACAGGAGGCGGTGCCAGGAGGGAGAGCGGCATTTTAAACCGGTCATCATCGACCATCACCGGTCAATTGCTGAGGTGAGTAGCTCGAGAGAGGACACCTTCAACACCTGAGCAGGGAGAAAGATCAGCATCCAGGAGCCTCAATTCAGAGCAGCAAAAAGCTACCGTGGGACCCTCCAGTCCTCAACAGGACTTGCCCAAGAGCTGGGCAGTTGAGAACATAAAATAAAGCAGGGAAGCTTTTAACAAGCAGTTAATGCCTTAAATTTTCAATGCTTAAATAATTAGGATGTCAGAAGAAATACTTATTGGCAACAGAAGTTTGTGCAGAGTGAGGTTCTCCTATGATTTTAGAGGATTTTTTAGATATCGGTTTTCTCACTGTATTTTCTAACATTAAATTCCATAGCAGTTCTGTGAAGCAGATAATAAAGTACAGGGCCACCAGAGCATACCTTGCCAGGATCTCCATGATGGAGACAAGCACCAGAGCAACATTTTAGCCAGCACTCTTTGCTTTATAGGCAATCTGTCAGTACTGAAATACCTAAAAATGCATCTAATGAAGGCATTTCTGTTTATTACGGTTACAGAAGGGTGCTCCTTTTTATAGTTTTGTTTTGCAAGACAAAATGTGTAAAACTAACAAGGAATGAAAGAAAGAAATGCAGAAAAGAAAGTACCTGGATCCTTCACTTTTTTTTTTTTTTGACCAATATCTAGTTGTACAATTCATCAAACCATAACATTTTGATTAGTATTTGCATCAGGACCACAAAAGCCCTTAAGAATTCATGAGATGGATGCTCTTTCAGGTGGGATTCAAGATTAAATTATATGGTAGGTCATTCTAATGGTATTGTAGTGCCTGCACATCCACAATGACACGTCAAGAAACTTAGTACATCAAGATATACATTGAACTCCTGGCTATAGTGAACTTAATATCAAAAATAACCAAGGGAGCCAAGTAGGGTAAGCAGAGACTCTCCTCCCCTGAAGCCTTTAAACATTATTGCACAAAACAAAATCAAACCCATGAAAACAGTATTCTGCACGTCACAGGATTCTACAGGCTTCTGGGCCTGCCCCTTTTTCTCCTGTATGGTTCTCTAATAACAGGGGAGACCGTCCTTCACATCAAGGTCTGGCACGGCATGTGTCCCCACCATAAAACGGATGTCCTAAGCTCAAATTTCAATTCATTCAATCACTGACAAGGGGGGTGTCAGGCCATCGCTGAAATACTGCAATAACAGCACTTAGCTCTAGTGTTTGTAGTGAATCGGAAAAATGACCAAGTATCTTCTGCTCTTTCCAAACATCATCTCTTTGCCAAACATATCCGGCTGTGTGATTGATTCTGCTTGCATCTGTAAAGACAGTTAATCCTACAACAGGTTTACTAGAATAAAAGGTAACATCTTGAAACGGATTATTCTTTAGCACTGTAAACATCTTATGAGGTGGAAAATGTATATTAAGAGGACCAATGAAACCTATCAGAGCAAACTGAAAAGCAGAGCTAGATTGTTGTGCCCAGTCTAACCATACCCTGGTAAGTGGCAAACAAATTTGTGATGGATCACAGCCCATAATTTCCTGACGTGAACAACCTCGTACAATCAAAAGAGCAAATACTTCTAACCGAGTAGTTACAGTAGTTAACAGTTTTATGTAGGAAAATCCATTCTAAAATGCATAAAGAATCAGTCTTTTGGAGATCCCACTGTGCTAGTAGACTAAATGGATGATACTCACTGTTGACAATAAACAGAATAACCTGTAAATCTGGATTCCATTGAGAAGCATAAGAGGTAGTGATTTTTGTCATGATGTGATCTAAGGTCTCATACTGAGCTTTTGATAGAACTCTTATTTATTTTTTTTTTTGCCTTTGACTCGCCCTTTAAAAGGGGCATGAGATCAGTCAAATCATCATTTGTGATTCCACACAAAGGGCAGATCTATCGAATATCACCCATCAATTTCTGCACGTCAGACAAGGTTTTTATCTGTGTGGTAATTTAAACTTTTTGAGGCCTAATTTCAGTTCCGGGAATGATCCACCCCATGTATTTCCAAGGAGCTTCACATTGCACCTTGTCTGGTGCAATTACCAGTCCTGCTTTTGCTAATGCTGATTGTAGCAGGCAGAGCAGATGGTCCTTGTTTAAATCTTTGCCTGCAATTAGGATATCATCCATATAGTGATAGATTACACATTTTTGCAGTTTTTGTTGAATCGGTTGCAATGCCCAGGCAACATACAGTTGACAAATAACAGGAGAATTTTTCATACCTTGAGGTAAAACAACCTATTCATATCTCTTAGCAGGCTCTCCTTTGTTAATTGCTGGGACAGAGAAAGCAAGTTTTTCACTATCGCTTGGGTGTAGAGTGAAAAAACAGTCCTTTAAATCAA